ACAACACCAAAATCGACCAACAATGTTTTCATGTAGAGGATTCATTGTAAATATATTCAGGAAGGAAATGGATTTTGCCGAAACCGCACTCGGCGAATACGGTGCTTTCTCGGAATTCCATTTCCTCATTCTTGGAACGAAAAAGTCTAACTTCAAAATACCACGACAGAGGAAGAAAGCAAAGTGCATGCAAGGAATGGAGGGAAAGTGCAAAAGGAAAGCCTTTTCGAGGTACCCGAACATGAACATTTCCACTTTGTTTATTCTACCTGGGTCGGCTGCAATGCCAAATACCAGAGGAAAAACGAATGGAAAGATACGACTGAATGCGAGGCTCGATCCATGGCAAGCATGGGTTGGACGAGATTTTTGGTGCAATTTATAATTCATTTTGAACTCCCGTGAGATGAATGCAATCGTTACGTTTCGAAAGAATTTTTATTTCTATTCCAGGAAATTCATGTGAGAGAGTGCACCTGATCTTCGATGCGTCTCGGCTCCCAATTGATTGTGGGACAACGAACGCATGTATGTATTTTTAAATGGGTTAATTTGCTTAAGAAAACTTGTCTGAATGAGCGTCCAGAGCCTCGTTTCTCAACTCAGGCTCAGATCACGATTCATGAATTAGCTTGCGTTATCCTCTGATAAACCACACGAGGAGTGGAGAAACAAAAAGAGGAAAAAGGAGAAGGAGGAAAAAGCAGGAGGGAACTCGTCTTGTTCTATTGCGGCCTCTGTAATGAAACGAATAAAAAAATGATTAGCTCTGCGTTTCCGCAGAGGTCAAAAAGTAAACCGGTGTGAAGCCATTTTTGTAGTATTTCGTTTTGAATTATGTAGTTTTTCCAGTCGTCAGATCCCTGACGTGTAGACACGATTTCTGGTATTTTGTGTTTTGTCACCAGCAGAGAAAAATAAAAGTGAAATTGGTCACTTCAACGGTTCTGAGTAAACTGAAACGTTGCCGCTCAGGACAGTCACCAGAAATTTCATTCACGTTTCATCAAATCATCGAATATGACCGGATGAAAAAGAAATGAATATAAAAGTAAAAAGTGCGACGATAAAGCTGCAGAGGAGGGTCGAGAGGTTTGTGTAGTTTGTTGGCTAATGTTCCACGTTTTAAGTGCCTCGCCTTTCTATCTATCTATCTATACTAGCGAGTTTGTTTGCCCTTCGGGCAAACAAACTCGCTGTGGTCGCGCCTTCGGCGCTCCATTACCTTGGAAAGTGATTTCTTCATGTTACGCCCCAAAGAAATATGCCCCCAAAAATATTTTGGAAATTTGACATTTGACATTTGAGCTGAGTGCTTCACCAGTCACGTTCTTGCCATGTTACAGCTTTCCATGGGTCTCCGTTTGATTGAAGCACTAAGAGAACTATTTGAAAATATGTTCCCCGAAAAGGTGTGCCCCTATGGCGTGCATCACCAAAGTGGAATATTTCCTGAACTCAGCATGTGAATAGCTACTTATAACAGTCAGTCAGCTACTCAAAATCATCTACATATAATATGAAATTAGAATTGTTTCTTTACTCAGCTATTCATCATGTACTTCTTTGCCAATTTAAAACTTTCTAGCAACCTCCGTTTTGCTGGATCAGAAAATTCAGGAAAATTTGCAAAATATTGTAGGCGGCTCCGACGTGATTTAACGTTAATGACTATCACGAAGAGATCGCCAGCGTGTTCGAGGTTTGAGTTGGCTGGTGGAGCCTTGCGAGGGTGGCGCCATAACGGGAGGTCTGTAGGTATTTCCGAAGGACGGTACACTTGACCCACTTGTCTCCATGTCACAGAACACTAGGGTAGGTGCATCTCCGATGAGACTCCCGTCGGGATCCACATGGTAGGTTCCAGACCGCGTGACTCCCTTGCCCGACTCACTCACTTGACATCCCCGACTCGACTCGACCCGACTCGACTCGACTACCCGCGCGTCTCTCCCGTGCGACCCTTTTATTCCGTTATGCCGGACATGCGCATTATCTTTTACTGAGATTTCATCGTCTTCATTAAAGTACGTCCTACAATATGTGCGCTCATGCGTTTTAACCGAAAATTACCATTTTTACCGAAATCAAACCTGTGAACTACATGCCCACAAAGTTTCAATATTATACGTTTGCCTTTTTCGCTGGTGAAAAATCATGGTTGGAAAAGCCGACCCACCCAAAAGCAATGCCCGGAGGGGATGCACCATGATAGCTGAATACTCCCTCAACTCAATAATATCGCGTCACCTACACGTGTGCCAAGTTTCACCTTTCCATTTCTGTCCAATTCGCCAGGACAATTTTTTATTATAAACATTGCCCCTCGAGAAAATTTCACGCCGGGGATGTATCAAGATTTAACATTTTTCTTTAACTCCTTATCTTGGTGGTCACATTTATGCAAAGTTCCAGCTTTCCATGTCCATCGGTTTAACTAATACAAAAGAATTATGTAAAAACATCTCCCTTTGAAATTCATGCCCCCAGGGCATTTCATTCCAAAGTCTGAATTTTTCTGCACGCAGCATCCCACAAAATCTCGATGACATCCTTATCCATCAAAAAATATATATTAAAAAACTTCTCCCCCCAAAATGTGTACCCCCAAGGCATGTACCTCCAATGTCGGATTTTTTTTAACGCTGCAACCCAAAAGGTTCATGTGTACCAAGTTTCAGATGTCTAACCATTCTGGAACATGGTTAGAATTAGCGTCAGTCAGTCAGTCAGTCACGATCGTCTATATATATTAGATATTAATCTATCGAAATATATCAGGAAGAAAGGTTGTCTTTTTGTTCCTTTATGCATTCGAGCCCCGCAGGAGGGAGTGCAAGCAAACTTTGCATGGCCTCCTATTTCATCCAGGGGAAGGTCGAGGGCTAAGTTTCCATCCAAAATGTTCACTCCCGGGGTACTTTTACGGGGTACTAAAGTGTCTGGGATGGCATCAACAGAAACGACTGATTCCTGGATTCGGTGGTGTAGTGGTACCACAAAGGGGGCGGCGATCAGGAGGCCCGGGTTCGATTCCCGGCCGTCCCCTGCCTCTTTTTCGTCCTCTCATGCCATCCAACTCTCTCCACCCGGCCACCTGCATTACAGTACCCTGGATCCCTCATTACTGGATCACTACAGGAGGTAGCAAGCGATAGTCTTTTGATCAAGTTTTCATCGAAAATGCTTGAAAACGATAAAAAAAAATTACCAAGTTTTTCATGAGCAAATTAACTTTGAAATTATTCAAAGCGTTCATTATTTTCAAAAAGCGAATCAAAGCGAATTTTCACAGCGATTAAAACGCTATGAAATTTATGAAGTCAAAAACCTCCAAAAAAATTAATTTAAAAAAGGGAAAGGAGTCCGAGCGCATTTTACGACACCGAAGATCGGAAACTTACTAGAAACCATCAGGCTGACGTTCCTCAATGTGTCATGCATGACATATTGAAATATTGAAATTCTCCTGGCAACGCCTGGTGCTTCAGCTAGTATCAATTAGAGATCGACCGATATATCGGCTGCCGATGTATATCAGTCGATCTCTTAAATAAATTACGTGATGATAAATTATAAGAACGGCCTTCATGGATTCGGAGTGTTTCTCTTGCACAACGAGTTTGGTTCCGAAACCAAATTTCAAGGATATATCTCCACTTCTTGGTGCCGTGAATTCTTTTTTAGTGATCAGATGCCAGCGGGTGAGCATAAGCCCCGAGGAAAACTAAACATTTTAAATGATTCAGTAGGCGAGCATTAGAAATATCGTGGTCGAACAGGGAGTCTTAAGGACATGTTTAGGCCTACGCACACGCTACGTTTTAGCCTACGTTTTAGACCCTGGATAAATGGGAGGATTAACGTAAGGCTCCAGGCCAAAACTGATAAACTAGGGCTGTTCCTTTAATTCGCGGACAGGGTCGGACAAGGGCAGGAGTCTGCGAATTAAATAAACAGCCCTAGTTTATCAGTTTTGGCCTGGAGAATTACGTTAATCCTCCCATTTATCCAGGGTCTAAAACGTACTTGTACTTTCGGACGATCAAACCTAACCTTCAGGGCGAATGTCTATCGTTTTAGCCGTTGACGTTCCCGTAGCCGTGAATACGCCTAACTTCTATGTACGCGAATGGGAACGGAAGCAGAGCGAAAGACTTGCAGTTCTTCGCCTCTCCGTGATGCCGTGTTGGCCAGAACACCCATACGAGAGATAGACCGATATATCGGTCGATCTAAAAAATGCACAAGGACCGAGGAGGCTCAGGCATATAAACAATCTCGAATGAAAAGCTTGAGCCGTGATGGATGTTTGCTCATTAGGTCCCTCATCTATGAAAAGAGCATGAAAAAAAGAACCGCGTCTGCCCGTTCGTGCTGTAGCGCTCTCCTCATGTATACAAGATCATCATATGTTACGAGACCCGGGTCAATCGATATGACCCCGAGACGAAACAGTAAACATCGACATGGGTTTCAAAAGGGCAACCGCACTGCACAGTGTCAGGTACGGATTCAAGGACATATTTGCATTTTTTCACTGAAATCGACTTGGCGAAGGCAGTGCCACTGGAAAATATAATATCTGCGACTGCCGAGATTGCCTGCCGGAAGTGATGAAGACCCAAAATGAGAGTTGGAAGAAGTGCAACCTGAAGGGGGCGACGTTGCATGACGACAACACCTCAGCCCGCAAGGCGAAGGGGACGGCATCTGAATTGCAAAGGTGCAAAATGAAATAGCGGACGCATCCGCCATATCCACCGGATCTCACACCTTGTGGCTTTCGGATGTTCAACGAAATGTAGTGAGAGCTGCGCGTGAATGAGTTTCATGCGGAGGGGCAGCTAAGTGTATATCGTGGAGGATAACATGAAGATAAACGAAGGAGATCTTGGAGTCTACTAAAACAAAGTGTTGCAGGAAGTGATTTGATTAATGGTTCGCAAGAGTGAAAAAGTCTGAATATCAATCTGTCTTCAATTATATTGAGAAGTCATGAGCGAATGATGGTTTTTGAGCAGGAAGCACTTTGGCTTGTCATACGTTCAAGAAGCGGAATCGATTATCTTTTGGGGGAAACTCGTAGATCCAGCTCCGTGGAGAGACGAGTCGGGCTCTACCGGGTTGGCAGAGGATGGAGCCTTGCCCCTGCAAGTCAGGGCGCCCAGAGTGTAATTCGCCCTTTGGTCATCGAACTTCAATCCTCCAAAGTGCAGCTCTGTTATAGGCAGTGCTGTTCCATTCATGATCGCTCCCACGTCCGATTCCCATTGTGGGGCTTTTGCATCGCAGTTACAAGGGTGAGGAGGGCCAATGCAATCGTTGGAGATGCCACACCTGCATACATGTTCTCCTGCGTTCGATCCGTCCCAGTAGTACTGAGGATCGCCGTGGCGGTCCACCCACCATCCGTACTGCCTGAGTCCAGTAGTCAGTGCCGCCATGAAGCAGTCGTACTGAAATGAGACAAGACAGGTAATAGATGCTTAGTATATTCTTTTCTGCAGTCAACTTTCATTTTGTTTATTATATAGAAGTGTAAATAAGCAAATATTCTGGATTATTGGTTGATGATTACTCCTGGCTCACCATAAACGATTGAAGAATTTAAAGGCAACTTCGACTCACTCTGATTTGCTGCTCACAGGACTCCGATTGCTCTATCAATGCTACCATTTGTTTCATGGACGAACCATAACTTATGTTGCGTCTGTAGCAACCAGGATCACCACAAGGATCTATCTCAGTGTTTCCCATCGAATCATGGAGGACGATGGTGGATACTGGAGCTACATGATAACATAGTTGGGAAGAATCGGGTGTGAGTAATGAAAAATAAATGAAATGTAGGTATTTCCGAAGGACGGTACACTTGACCCACTTGTCTCCATGTCACAGAACACTAGGGTAGGTGCATCTCCGATGAGACTCCCGTCGGGATCCACATGGTAGGTTCCAGACCGCGTGACTCCCAGGTCTGCTAGCGCCTGACACGTTCGGGGAGCTACCATTCGAATACCATGCGTCGAACAAGCCTGATTCTAAACGAGGGGTTATTTAAAGAATTTTTTTTTCGATCGAGTGGCATATAAACTGCAGTTTCAGTATCCACAAGATGCCGTATCGCTAGGCCTTGAATTCGTGTCCTGATGAACTTGGATTGCAACCGCCGACTGAGTATTTCGGCCGAAGACGTACTTCTGAAATAATGTTAATACTATGACACCCAAGGCTGCGGATTGCCGTTGCTTTCTATCAGCCGACTTGTCACGTGGCAGTCAACGGGTTACGGATCGAATGACTATCCTGCGAGGAGCAGCGCATCATAGCGGAATTCCTTCCTGCTGAAAACCCTTCAACCGGAAAGGCCAAGAGAAGAGAAATCCGCCAGGATGGAGGACATTGGGTCGACTTAAAGCGCCATTAAGATGTTTCCTAGGTCCTTGTGCTCCAATCGAACGCGTTTCGGCGTCAAGCTTGGTGGTCCTTTAGCACGGATGCTGCTGGAAGCCTTGTGCGTCGTGGAGCCTCCTGCTGGTAGGAATTTCAATATCGGGCGGTGCTCACTGCTGAACGATCCCAAGATTGTAAATCCTACCTTTTAACTTCGACTGTGCGTAGTGAACTGCAAAGGCCGTGGCGTTAGTGAAAGTGCAGTGAACCAGCCATTCCTGGAGGTATTGAAATTGCAGTTCGAGTATGGAATATCCACTATCCAATTCCTATGCCACTTGATCGAAAAGAATCATTTTTCTTATGCTCATTGAATGCGGTCTTTCTTAATGCGTTTGTGAACTCACTTATTTGCTGGTTAACAGCCTCAAGATATTGGAGTCTCCCTTCCGTGGAATTCAGTTCAAGTTTAATTTCGTCCCTATCACGAATATTTTCCAGCAGGCTAGACTTGAGGTTCTCGTTATCTAACTTGAGGTTTTCCTTCTCGTGCCACAGGTGTTCGCAATCATTTTTTAATTGCGCAATGAGCTTGGCGTGCTCCTCGGTTTTTCTCAGCAGACCTGACACCAAATCCTCCAATTTGTTCCATTGTCTTCCTTTCTCTCTCTGTCCAGATTTGATGGCGAGTATCTGGAAAATACATGGGAAAATACATGTTTCTTAGGAATTGTCACACATCGAAACCTACATACATTTTCTCTTGCTGTCGAAAAGGGATGTGAACAATCATGCAAAAGCGCATTTTTTCTTTCCCATTCTCGTTGAATTCGTCTGAGTGGCTCGGTAGGCAACGAGCAGGAGAATTTTTTTCAACACCAGACTTGGCGCCGCAATTCCTTACTTTAGGAAGTCCTGTCCTTTGTAATGACGTAATTTTTTAAAATCAAGATACATGAAGAAGTCTCAACTTTGTAAGTAATTTGCTAGCCTGATATTCCTGAAAAGGATTAAGGAAGTTCAAATGAAAGAAAAAATGAAAATTGCTTGCTGACGTGCCTTTAACTTAAACAAATGCTTTTCAATGCGTTTCTTCCTATCAGAACAACAAGGTTGTACTTACGTTTCCAGGCCCATGAAAGAACAAAGCAAGGAACAACAGGCGTAAAATTCCCCCCATATTGATGCAGTGCCTCGTGGACGTGTTTCTTCAAGCCTGGAATGATGATTTTACCTTTAGAATATTAATGGAGAGATAATTAATGGATTGGAATCGAATGAATCACTGCAATGGGATAATGGAAGATTGCATCTCGCGATCGTCGGAATGTCTGTCAAAGCGGATTGGTCCGACTGACATGCCAAGTCATTTTTATTTTGTATGTTACCATAACTTTTGGCATCATCTGTCAGAGAGATTTGCGAGGAATAGCAGGTATGTGCCTGTTCCTGGCATGCATGGAAGGTGAGCCGAGTGAACCAGCAAATTTCCATTGACGCTCCGCTGCGGACGCCAGAGTCGAAATGATCGGAATGTCGGTGATGAAGGGGGAAGAAGCAGAATGGAGCAGGTTTTCTCCAAGACGGGAGGGAAGCGAAGGTCGGAAGACCTTCCACTACTCTCTATGCCAGTAGGGTAGCGGTTCTAAACCTTTTACTGTCAAAAGCTACACTTTTTGGACAAATAAATAATGGCGGCACACTCTTGAACCCCATAATAAATAAATGACATGAGTAGCATGCAAAAAACCTAGGAAATTTGACCAAGAGTTTAATCATGAGATGCCAGAGTGACTCATTGAAATATATATTTTATATTCTCAATTCTATTTTCATTTCGCATTATTGCAAGACTCATGCTAAATAGTGAAAGGTAAACAATATTGCTCCAACTTCTCGAATTACTGAAAAAAAAGCCACTACACCCACCCCAGTGAAGGAACTCCTACAACTGTTGTAGCACGTAATGCAACAAAAATAACTGTCAACCACAGACGGTGCATGAAGAGCCATGTTATGTTTTTAGCGAATAATTACGTTCCATTCCTATGGCTCCATGAAACGATGTCTACTGGTATACCATGAGGGTGATTAGTAAAGACGAAATACCAGATTGGTGCAGAACGTGCCACATGTCTCTCACTCGGCAGGGAATAACTGAAATATTAATGAAAAATTTTTAAATCCATCATTTGGTGGAGATGATAGCTCCCCAAAAAGAATTATTCCAGATTTCATGCCACCATGATATGGTTGAGGTTCACAAGTTGAGAACTGCTACTCTAAGGCTATCCTATGTGTAAATTCCATTTCACAATTAACTTGTTACTTCATAACAATTTCCGAAAAGCAAATCAACGATGTCTATTCTTTTGTCGAAGAGTAGCTAATAAAGGTAATTCTTGCATCCTGTATCACTCACTTCAATTGACTTGAGATTTTTATAGGAAGGACTCAAACGTACGAGCCCTTTGTCGATGAGAATCTTCAAGCGTGTATTGTTGGTATGGCACTGTTTGAGGAAATCCCATTGCCACATCTTTTACTTTAGGTGAAACCTGCCGGCCACTTACTGTGACCAGCAAAACTGGTCAATGTTATTGAGGACTGTCCTCATGGGCCAATACTTTCGTGAATATCATAGCTATGAAAGCTGTTTTTTGCCGGAAGGTTGCCCAACTTGTTATCTTCCACGATCTGTTTACCTAGTCTAAAAAAGGCGTGTATTCTTGACGTACTTGGCTCTCAAAGGTGGGTGTGTCATTGGACCAGTTTTGCGACTTTTGTTAAACCCGACCAATAAGCATTTTTTAACAACGACTCACATCCTCAATATGCACACAATCTTTACAGAAGTTGGTATTCGCATCTCTTCGCTTATTAGCGACTCTTCCCTGCGTTTTCCACAATTCTTTTTCGTCATGAAGCCCATTTCTGAAGGAACTCGAAACAGCATCGTTTCTTTGTTGAACAAAGGCTTCTCTTCGCGTAAAATCGCAGCACAGCTGGGCGTCGGACCTACTACAGTGAAGAGTGTCTGCAACGATCAAGTCCGATGTGCCGAAGAGCCGGGGTGGACGACCAGCCAAACTCACAGCGGCCGACAAGCGTAGACTGGTCCGCGTTGTCACATCAGGAAAGGCCGACACTGCCGTCCAATTGGCACAAGAGCTGAGGGACACTACCGAAGTGAAGGTCAGTGCTGACACCGTGCGTCGTGCCCTGAAAGAAGCCGGTCTGCAGGCAGCATCCAAGAAAAAGAAGGCCCTACTTTTACCTCGACACATTCGCCAGCGCCTCGACTTTGCATTGCAATACCAGCATTGGACCGTAGAAGATTGGAAGCGCGTTGTTTTGGTCGGACGAGACCAAGATTAACCGTCTTGGGTCCGATGGGCGCAAGTGGGCGTGGAAAAGGTGAAAAAGTGTCATAACAACGCAGCATGTTCGAGGTACAGTCAAGTTTGGAGGAGGAAGTCTGATGATTTGGGGGTGTATGATGGCCCAAGGAGTCGGTTACGCGCGCCGCATTGATGGTCGCATGGACGCGGAGCTCTATACTCGCATCCTCGAGGACGAAATCCTCAAAACCATCGAACACTACAAGCTTCAAGCTAACAACATCATCTTCCAGCAAGACAACGATCCGAAACACACGTCCCGTGCTGCCCGCTCGTGGTTTCAGAACAACGGAATCAAGGTGTTGGAGTGGCCTGCACAGTCCCCAGATCTCAATCCCATCGAACATTTGTGTTCTTCCAGCAAGACAACGATCCGAAACACACGTCCCGTGCTGCCCGCTCGTGGTTTCAGAACAACGGAATCAAGGTGTTGGAGTGGCCTGCACAGTCCCCAGATCTCAATCCCATCGAACATTTGTGGAGTCATTTGAAGAGACGGCTGTCAGAGTATGATACTGACCCAAGTGGTATGCTGTAGTTGTGGGAGCGAGTGGAAACCATATGGAACGAAATTTCCCCAAAAGTGTGCATGGATTTGATTGAGAGTATGCCTAGGCGTGTTGCCGCAGTGGTGAAAGCCAAAGGCGGATACACCAAATATTGAATAAAGTCTCATGTCCTTCTTGCTGAGAAAGAGTCGCAAAACTGGTCCAATGACACACCCACCTTTGAGAGCCAATTACGTCAAGAATACACGCCTGTTTCAGACGAGGTAAACAGATCTTGGAAGATAAGAGGTAGGGCAACCTTCCGTCAAAAAACAGCTATCATAGCTGTGATATTCACGAAAGTATTGACCCATGAGGACAGTCGTCAATAACATTGGACCAGTTTTGCTGGTCACAGTACGTTAAAGCTAGATCTAGAAGCACTTCTCAACACGGTAGTGGAATTAACTTATTGAATTACCGATAATGTAATTTCAACTGCGAAAGCAACTCACCTAAGAATGTGGCATTCTGGTAAAACGAGAATCTCCTTGACTGGACTGAATATATAAAGACGTTGAGGTGTAATGCCCCTCGCCTGCAAGGAGTACCATATGATAATTAAAAACAGATGGGTGTGGCTTACGATTCTTTTTTCCGAGATCGTAACCGTATTAATGCAAATAAAGTTGCTAAACCTTTCGTGGGTAATTTTAAACTCATACATGTACTATCGACCAATCGACTTCAGACAACGCAGGACATAGTGTCAGTTGGTCTTCATAATTATGTTCGATGCAGTTTCAACATGTTCACATATCGTATGAGCTCGCTTCCTCAAAAATTATTAGGAGAATTCCAGATAGATTAGTTCAACCATTACTCACAAACCAACCTTATATTATACCTGTATAATATCAGATATAATAATGATACTTTTCTGAGAAAAAAAATTGATCATCTAATAAAAAAGTTGTTCCACTAGTAGATAAGCCATGCAAAATAAACCAAAACTATCGACAACTAGGAGATACTGTACATGTGAATGCTCAGATGTGGAGCTTTTCTTCTTTCGAATCCTCGGAACTCATTTCCAACTCTGCTGAGTTCCTGCTATATTGTATTTACAGGAAGGCGAATTTCGACGTGAACTCAGCTGGAAACTTTTGGAGAGACTCAAGGATCCTCTGCTGATCGAAGACCTGTGGATGAAGGTGAGACGACGCACTTCATCTTGCCATGTAACAGTAAAGACAGGAACTGTCTAAATGAGGACTCTTCGCAGGAATCCTTTCAACTGAAGGAGCTGCTTAGAACCAAAGGAGCTGGGATGACCGGCGCTGGCTACGTCCGCTTGGGGACTCCAATCTTCTACGACGTATAGAGTCTCTTTCCCTCTTTCTAGCTAATAGATATGGATTCGTAAATTCAGGCTGTTGAGACACTGATTTCCTAGTCCATCCATCTAAATTTTCTTTCATTACAGATATTTCGCAATGTGGTGACGTACACCATCATATTTCTGCAATTCAATTCCGGAGAACGCAACAAGTAATTTCACTTTATGTGCACATAGATACATATGCTATTGGGAATGAATTCATCAAGTGTGGATTGAGTGTGCGTGAGTCCACGTCTCGATGATGGACCTCAGTGATTCGAGCCATCCTTGGTCGTACCATGAAGCACAGGCTTCTATTTTACGACCAAGACCTGTCAACACGTCATCATCCGCAGGGTGAATGGCATGCAAGACCGCCGAAAAATGAGGAAAATCTGATATCGGATGAAGGGAGACAGGCTAAGGCAACTGGATGCATCAACTACAATAGTTCTTCTTCTTCAGTGACAGATTTATTAGGTAGTGC